AACGTCTCTTGAAGACATGGCTTCTTTGTATGTTCTAGGATCTTTTTCTATATCAAACAAAAAAGGTATCTGATTAAAGACTTTAGTTCTATCTCCCTCTACTAGAAAAACTAAAGATTCCGAAGATATAAAATCTGGATCAAGAGTTTTTTCTCTTCTATCTCTTTGGCTTCTTCTAGGCTCTAACTGAGTATTGTCACTTTTTATTTAAAATTATTTCAGAATGTGAGATCTTTTGTGTATCATGACTACTTTGATTTTGTGCAATCAACTGCTCATCAAAAATATCATTAATGAATCTATTTTCTAAAAATTCAACATGAATAGATTCTACTATAACATTAGATTCTACATCAAGCAATCTATATGCTTTCGAATTTTGTGCATATCCAACAAAAATACTTTTAATCCCTCTAGGTCCCAATTTTGTTCTTTGGTGATCAGGAACTCTATAAAAGGATATACACCCCCACACTTTAAAATAATACATATTAGGTTTTCTACCATTCCAAAGTTCATAAGGTGAAACATGAACACTTTTTGAAGGCACTCTATTTAATATATGACAAGCAGTAAGTAGTGCTTCACCCCACAGATTGTACGGTAAATGTGCATTTAATAACATAGAATTAACCATGTCTACTAAAGTTCTATTTTTCCTTTCCGCCAATCCATTTTGTTGTGGTGTATAAGGAGCACTTGTTTGATGTATTATTCCATGCTCTTCACAGAAATTACTAAATTAGTGGGAAAGTATTCCCCTCCTCTATCACTTCGAATAATTTTTATTTTCCTATTCTTTTGATTTTCTACAACCGACTTAAATACCTTAAACTTTTGAAATGCTTCATCTTTTGTTCTAAGTTGATAAACATATGTGAATCTAGAGAAATCATCTATAAACGTGATGAAGTATCTTTTACCTCCTCTAGTTAATTCTCCATTTAATTCACATAAGTCAGAATGCACTAAGTGTAATAATTCTGTAAACCTTTCAACTTTACGAAATGGTTTCTTAGTTATTTTCGCTTGTAAACATATTTCACACTTGCTTCCATGTTCAGTTTTACAAGAGATATAACCATTTTTTGACATATAATTTATAGAACCAAAATTTAAATGGCCTAATCTAGCATGCCATAAATAGGAATCAAACACAATGGTATAAGCAGAAGCATAATTTATTGCATTAACACTTAGTTTGAACATGCCGTCACAATGATACCCTTTTCCTACAAACAAACCACTCTTAGACACAATTACATGATCAGACTCAATTACAATTTTGAAACCTCTCTTAGAAAGTAAACTAACAGAAATCAAGTTCTTCATAATTTCAGGAACATGGAACACGTTCAGAAGAGTCAGCTTCTGCCCAGATGTAAAGTTGATTTCAACTGTTCCTTTTCCTGCAACTTCGGCTGTAACATGGTTGCCCATCAGCACCTTTTCAGAATCTTTAACTTCCGAATAGGTCTTGAACATATTCTTGTCGTGACAGACATGAATTGTTGCACCAGAATCCAACCACCAATCTTGATTCTTTGTGGTTGTTGCAGCCATATTTAACTCATTAACCATCTCATTTGGTATAGCAGAAATCATAGCCACTAGCCCTTGTGAAGAACTTTCTACTATGTTTACCTTCTCAGAATTTCTTGAGTTTCCAGATTTTCCAACATCTCCTGAATGAAAATTTATTCCTGCTTTCTTAAACCTGCAGTCTCGAATCTTATGACCTTTCTTTCCACAATGATAACAACTCATATTGTTTCTCTTCTTATTAAGAAACTTCTTTGAAACTTTCAGATTTTTTTTCGTTTCTGACTTATTCTGACTAACAGTATTAACCGTAGAACTAGAGGCATGAACAATTTCATCACGAGCACGAGTCTCACTTTCAATTTGAAGATGAGTTCGAAATTGTTCTATAGTTAATTTGTCAGTAGAATGTAGGATTTTCTTTTTGTAATTATTCTATGAAGAAGGTAATTTCGAGAGAATTGCACCTATTTGAAGTGCATCAGGAATTTTCACTTCAAGATCACTTAGTTTTGAAACTAAGATTTGTAACTCATGAATCTGATCCATTATAGGCTTTGTATCTACCATCTTAAATTCGAAATACTGCAAAGATAAGAATTTATCGATACCTCGTTTCTCGTTTTCATATGCAGTCTGCAATGCTGTCCAGATTTCCCTTGGAGATTTTAAATTGGAGTACAAAACATACAATCGATCAGTCAAAGTATTCAGACTATGACCTCGGCAGAGCAGTTCATCTTCTTCTCGTTTCTTCCTCTCTGCTTTGATCGCATCAGTATCCTCCGGGGTTGGTTCTGGTAGTGTAGCCAACAATGGATCAAGGACATAAAAGATTTTCAGCGCTGTGAGTAAGAAGATCATCTTGTCCTTCCAACGAGTGAAGTTTGATCCATCAAAGCGATCCAATTTGATTAAGTCTTTCGGATTCTCAACAGTAGCCAATAACTTCTCCATAGCAGAAATAACTCTTGAAAATTGTTAGAAAAATATAGGTAAGTAACAGAGAATTAAAGGCTTTGAGGCGTGAAAGATCACTATCTTTCAAGAGTTATTGCCTGTATATAGTTTAGGGACTACAAGCAATTCTCTATCAGGATACAACAAAGCCAGAACATACGTGCAGATTGAATGCTCTACTTCTGGGATGTCTTCCGTATTTATAGAAAAGAAAAGGAGACTTTTCTGAAGAGACGCCCCTTTTCACGAATAACCACAACTCTTTTTTGTTAATTAAAATTTAAATTTAAATTCAAATTTTAAATAACAAAAAGCTGTTCCAAATAAATACGAAAAATAAAAGCTTTATTAAAGTCCGACCTGACCCGCGCCCAAGCTTCATTTTATTGGACTTAATGGCCAAGCTTTATAAAGCCAATTAAATGACTTTATTCCACCGGTGTGGGACTCCTTACTCCCACGTATACAAACTATTCTAACAATCATATCTTTTATTCAACGAAAAAAATACTACTGTATATCATATCTTATGATAGAAACACCTAATTCTAAACTTAATATGCGCACATAAATTGTGTCACGCGCAAGCTTCACTCTCAAAGTAAAATATTTGATTAGGTCACAAACAATCGGTTCAAATCATAGTTGAACAAATTACTTGGCTAGGCTAAATAAGCAATGTATGATGATAATAATACAATTAAAGTAGATATAAACAAAAGAAAGAATAATCTTATTGAAAATTAGCACGAGTCACAATGTTCTAAAGTAAAGATCGATTGCCCAACCGGACAAGAGCGAAATACAATAGCTTCAAGTCATGAATAAGTAGAGCAGAATTTGATGAATCTACAAGTAAGAGAACTAGAGGTATTTATAGCCTAAGCCTAACGTTCATAACCCTAGTTCCACTCTCACATGTTGTTCTGGGTGGTTGTTAGTGGCCAAAATACTCGCCGACTGTGAAATAAGCGTCAGACATACTGGATAAGAGTGAATCCCGAATATTTGAGAGGCGATTGAAGACCAAGCAAGACTCCGAATTGTAGCTTCATCAACGAATTCCTGGAGCCGTCTTTAGAGTGCTTCTACTTCATCGGCGCATTGCTCCCATCTCCCCGGGAAGGAGCTACCGGATGTAAGATATTTTTTGTGAGGGCAAACTTCTGCTGCTCGTTCAACCGCATAGTGAAACTTCTTCCAAGCCACATCGTGTCACCGTGTGAACTACCCACGTATCAAGGCCAAATTCACCAGTGCAATCTCCAAAATTTGCACGTGTGCTATTCACTCTCTGAAGGTTGTGGAAAAAGCTAAAATGCATTAAATTTGTTTAGTCATAAGTGGTAGGTTTGGCAAATGATAAATTGATAATACGCAAGATCACAACCATACAACTTTTTTAGGCTCACAACCTGCCAAGCTAGGCTCAGTAGCCATCTAAAAAAGCTGCAAAAAAAAAGCAGGAGTTGCGGCTATGGGAGATTTAGAAATTATGTTTATCTTTGTAGGACTTAACCCTCTAATTTTCTTATGCTGATTTTCTATATGTCCAAAGTGATGAATGTTTATGAGTCTTTATGTTTTAATCTACCTTCTCATTATATTCTTATCTTTTGCGATAGATTGCAAATAAATAGATCCAAATAAAATGGTGAAAATAACACGGGCTAGCCAGTTTTCGAACCAGTAATCGAAAAATAGTCAGTATTTGCAAAGTTATTGAAACTAGCCATTGTTTTGCTGAAACATGGAAAGTTCTAGCATAATATACGTGATTATGGAGCTCCTCCATATAAACTTCTCGCATATTATGTTGGAACTCCAGCACACGGAAAGTTTCAGCATAATATGCTAGATTATGGAGCTCTTGCATATAAACTTCCCACATATTATGTTGAAACTGCAACACATTATGAAATTCCAACACATTATGCCGGAAGCTCATATGTAAAAAATTCAAATTCCAACATATTATGTTGGAATATTTTTGGATTTTTAAGAGTATTTTTGTTTAGATTTTATCTTTATATGAAACTGTGACTATCTTTTAGTTACCAGTTGTAAATTTGGCTATATTTTAATTTGTCCCAAATAATGCTCTAGAGAGAGTGAGATGAGAAAGTGAATCTTTACGCCAGTCGTCAAAATCTATAAAAGAAAGTTTTAGATCAATCTTAAGTCAAAACTCGTCGTGGGTATAATGTACTCTTCCTCTTAACTCCATTTATTATATGTGGTCTTCAAATGGCATAAAAGGCGCATTCTTCTTTTGGTTATAAAACACACAATCGCTCTCAATATCTTCAACCGGTAACTACCACCTAACAACGTACGCATCCACACATAAATAGAGAAAGCTACCGGCACGTGAAGATGGTTTCTTAACTACACGTTTTTGTAATGGCTTATTTAGGTGTCACTGAACAAGCTAACAGTTATGCATTGGATGCGCCTTGCTATAAAAGCCTACTAAAACTTACGGAAGCAATATACTCTATACATCTAAAGCTGCCACTCCTTCGTTAAAGGTTAAAAAATGGAGATCATGCATGTCTCTACTTTCGATTTTATTGCACTGCTCATCTTCTTTTCCTTCCTTTTTGTTATAATTGACAAGAGAAATAAATCAAAACAACAAAAGTTGCCTCCAGGTCCATGGACGCTTCCCCTTATTGGAAGTATCCATCACTTGAGAGGAGCATTTCCACATCGCACTCTTAGAAAATTAGCAAAAAAGTATGGGCCTATCATGTATTTGCAACTTGGAGAAATTCCTGCAGTAGTCATATCATCACCTAATGTGGCTAAAGAAATTCTAAAAATTCACGAACATGCCTTTGCTTCTAAGCCACGACTTACATCCATAGACATCACTACTTACAACGGTAAGGACATTGCATTTGCACCATATGGTGACAATTGGAGACAAATGCGTAACATATGTGTTACAGAACTTTTAAGTGCCAAGATGGTTAAGTCTTTTAGTTCAATTCGGAGAGATGAGATTTCGAGTCTCGTCTCATCAATTCAATCCATGAATGGTTCTGTTGTCAACATAACACAAAATATTCTTCACTATACAAACTCTGTGACATGTAGATCAGCCTTTGGAAGAATACAAAATAATCAAGACGAGTTGATAAATTTGTTGAGGGAAGCACTGGATTCATTAGGAGGATTTGATGTGGCTGATTTGTTCCCTTCTTGGAAATTACTTCACAACATGAGTAGGGTGAAATCGAGATTGTTAAAGCTGCATCAGAAGGTTGATGCAGCTCTAGAGAACATCGTTAATGAGCATATTGAGAATCGAGCACTCAGCAACAAGGGAAATACTGAGTTTGGAGGTGAAGATTTGGTTGATGTTCTCCTAAGATTTAAGGAGAACGGTGAACTCCAATTTCCAATCACAAATGATCACATAAAAGCAGTAATTTCTGTAAGTTTTCTCCTTAAACATTTTTGCACACTACTCTCATTGGATAGTCTATTACCTTATATGTGTACGAATCAGTTGTCTTTATTTATGTACTTATTTTTTATTGATGTAGGACATGTTCGCTGCTGGAACTGAAACTTCAGCTGCAACTATTACATGGGCATTATCGGAAATGATGAGGAACCCAAAAATTATGGCCAAGGCACAAAGTGAAGTGAGACAAGTTTTCAAAGGAAAGACAAGTTTTGATGAAAAAGATCTTGATAGATTATCATACCTAAAGTTAGTCATTAATGAAACGTTAAGGCTACATCCTCCAAGTCCTTTTCTGCCCAGGCAATGTACGAAAGAAACATATATTGATGGATATAAAATACCTCCCAAGACCAGAGTACTAATCAATTCATGGGCACTTGGAAGAGATCCCAAAAGTTGGCATGACCCTGAGAGTTTTATACCGGAGAGATTTGATAATTCTTCAGTTGACTTTATGGGAAATCACTTTCAGTTTATACCATTTGGTGCAGGAACAAGGATTTGTCCAGGAATGCAATTTGGTTTGGCTAACGTTAAACATCCATTGGCTCGTCTCCTCTACCACTTTAACTGGGCACTTCCATATGGAATTAGTCCAGAAGATCTGGATATGACTGAGAAGAAGGGATTCAGTGCAGCAAAACAAAAAGATCTGTACTTAATTGCCACGGATCACAGAAGCGACGAAAACTTTTGATGTTGTGCTTTCAATGCTGAAAGCATACCCTATATAATGCTTCATCCTTTAATTTGGTTTATATTCATGTCCCCCTTTTATCTTTAAAGTTATAGTGAAAATTAGCAAAGAATAAGATCAAGAGTTGGTTGTACAGTTATGGTTTGGAAGGTCGGACCAGAGAATTCGTTCTACTATTTTGTGTAGTATGTACTCCAATATTTATTTCTATTTGGAGATGAACTACGACTTGTAAAATGGATATAAGGAAAATGAGAAATTAAATGAAACAAAATCAAGGCAGATATCAACCTATCATACTTATGTTTTTCACTTGATCATTATTCGATTTGGCAACCTATGCAACACGGAAAGAGAGGCTATGTACGGATACAACTATTACGTGGGCGACATAAATTGTATGAGTCTTCTCTCATCTTTTGCCAAGTGAATTTTGGGTCCCACATCGGTAATATTAACCTAAGTCCTAGCCTGCCTTACTACTCTTTTTTTCTTTCTTTATTTCTAAAGCTATTGCCTAGTACTCTCTCCTCTGCCGAATTTCTCCTAATTTCTTACCAATTGCCTCAAAGCTAGTCCTATATGAGCCAAAGTCATCCCTTCTAGTCCCTGTAAACATAAACTTTAATTCATACCAGGATCTTGAACATGATAAGCTTACATATAATCGTTATAGAAAATATACCTGAAACGAAAGCCATTATCACGGAGCGGAAGTGTTAATTGGTAAATTGATTTCTCTCACCTTGCCCTAACTTTCGTTACTGCCGTCATAGTGATGGAAAAGAAGGAATATAAAATACGGTAACCCTAATGGGTGGGGAGACCACCAATTTATTGTGGTTCTCATTTAATCTGATACATATCCATCAAGTAACCGATCAGATGGACGAGATTTGTCTTTCATTAAATATTAATTATGACCTTTATTATATTGGGTCATATACATAATAGGAACAATCTAACATTCTCCCACTTGACCCAATAATTACATAAATTCAATATTTAATACTCCCTCTGTTCCAGTTTATGTGAACCTATTTCCTTTTTGGTCCGTTCCAAAAGGAATGACCCCTTTCTAAATTTGGAAACAATTTAGCTTAAACTTACAATTCTACCCTTAATGAGAAGATTTTATAACCACACAAATGCTCTGGACCCCTTTTTGACTTGTATAGGACCACAAATTCCAAAAGTCTTCATTTTTTCTTAAACTCCATGCCCAGTCAAACAGGTTCACATAAATTGGAACGGAGGGAGTAACATAGTTCGTTAGTTACGCATAAACAAATCCCCTATAGTGTCAATCATACATATCATAATACGACAAACCGCTAAATGTGAGTTATGGATTTTTTTTTTGATGAAGTAAGTAGTGTATTATTGACAAAAGCATCCAGTGGATGCACGTATTACAAAATAAAAGAAGATATCAGCCCCTAAGAAGAGAGCAACAAAAAATCTATCATAAGAATAGAGAGCTGATAAATTCCATAAATTGGTCAGAGTTATACATAGGGGAGAGTTTAACCCAACTAAAAAGAGTGACCAAACATCTAGCCTTGAGTAGGTATCTAGTAGTTGAGATGCTATCAAAGCATCTTTGATTCCTTTCTGTCCATAAGCACCAAAATATAACAGCAGGAACCATAGACCAGATTTTCTTGATGGACTTCTCAACTTTCCGTGAACTCCAACTCACAAAAACTTCCTTGACATTGCATGGCATTGTCCAACGCAAACCAAAAAGTGAAAGAAACATGGACCATATGTCTGTTGCAACTGGACAGTGAAGAAATAAATGGTTGATTATTTCAGAGTTGCTTTGGCACATGTAGCATCTGCTAGCATGCTGAAAACCCCTTCGGATGAGATTGTCATGGGTTAGGCATGCTCCATTTAGAGTTATCCAGCAAAAAGCACTGACGTTTGGAGGCATTTTTGTCCTCCAAATTAGATTCCAGGGCCACTGATCAATCATTTCCTTCCTGGAGCTTAAGGTTTGATAACTAGCTCCGACTAAGTATGCACCACTACTACTGCTGCCCCATCTGAGTTTAATGTGAGTTATGGCGGTTATACATATAATTTTGTCTACATACTTGATAACTAGGGATTCTGATGTGTTTTATGCCCCTTCTTGCTTATGCTTTGATTATAAATTGTTACAAAATAGTCCCAAAAGGCTCATAGGTTGTTCTTGATTGCAGGTTTGATCGACAAAGTGACGAAATATCAAAAATCGGCTCAAAAGGAGTGAAATCTGCACAAGTACCAAAAACAAGGCAAACTCAGGACAAACAGGCCTAGTGCGGCCGCACTACACTTTGTGCGGTCTGCACTAAGGAGATTCAGAGAGCAAATTGTAAGGCATAAAACTAGTGCGGCCGCAGTCCATTATGTGCGGTCCGCACTAGGTAGATTCAGAGAATGGAAAAACCAAGCTTCAAGCAACGCGGCCACAGTACACATTGTGCGGTCCGCGGTGAAGGCTCTACGGCCGCGCTGCCATTATGTGCGGTCCGCGGAAGAGAACTTCAGAGAGTTGAAATTGCCAAGGTTCAAAGCCATGCGATCCGCGGTCATGTTTGTGCGGACCGCGCTAGCTGCCTCCGCGGCCGCGGTCCACTCTGCGCGATCCGCAGAGCCCAAGTTCAGAGAGCCAAGATTTGAAGTCCAAGAGCCTAGTGCGGCCGCAGTCCATTTTGTGCGGCCCGCACTGACCCCGCAGGGGCATTTTTGTCCAGTTTTTCCAGCTTAGTATAAATAGAACCTTTTACCATTTTTAGGGTATCAGTTATTTATTTTAGCAGCTGCGCTCGTGAGAACATCATCTGTAGCCATTTTTGGCATCTTAGCTTACTTTTAACGATAGATTCTCTGTATTTTCTTTAGCGTTTAATTAATATGTCTTTTTCTTCATCTTTTTCTCTATTTTCTTCTTCAAGCATGAGTAGCTAAACCCATTAGCTAGGGTTTTGGCTCAACCCTAGTGTGGGTAATTGATGGGTGTTGTGATTTAAGGTTAGATTGACTATGGGTGTTTGTATTTGGGTCAATTTTATGGTTTAATTTATGAATTGGTGGTTGCAAACACTGGTTTGTGCTAAGTTGACTTGGCTCTTCTTGAGAGAGAGAGCCTAAGTCTCCAAAATTGAGCCAACAAGGAATTGGGATGGACTCAAGAGAATTGATAGTCCCAATTAAAGGGTTAAACCTCGAGAGAGTAATTACCCGACTTGAACCCTAGTTGCTTGAGCTAATTTGCCGACCCATTTGGTCTCGAGAGAGTCAATTGGGCAAAATCACTCTCTCTACCGAGAGGTGTGAGAGTGGGTAAAATTGTGCAACGGTTATACATATTTCCTCAATCATGTCAATCATGCTTTAGAAGCAATTACCCGTCAATTAGCCACCTAGGTGAAAGTCACTACCCTAGTGCCCCTTAATTCATTAGATACAACTCTTAGCAATTATCTCTTAGCATAATCTAGTTTTAATTCTAATTAGTAGTTTTATAATAGTAGTTTATAAAAGAAAACCCAAAAATTATGAGAAGATCAATCAAGAACACACATGCGATCCTAAGCTAAGTAGATACCCAACTCCAATCCTTGCTCTCTGCGGATTCGATCCCGACCCACAAATCGGGTAATAGCTATTGCGACCCTCTCTCACTACTATTTAGTGGTGCGGAGTTGGCAGCGAACAATACTCTCTTCCATATAGTACAACATTGGCAACTCATCGTATCAAGTCCATAAGATATAAAATATTATGGTCCACAATAATGTCTCATTGAGACTTATCCTATAATATCTCAAAACAATAATATGTACACCACTATGAGAAACATGAAATCATTAATATATATATATATATATATATATATATATATATATATATATATGTATGTATGTATATCAAAAACACATAAATTAGCTTAGAATGTCAAAACATCATAAATACATCCAAGACCCATTCTATATATATGTTCTTTAAATATCTTTGGCGGTAAACCTTTAGTTAACGGATCTATAATCATGAGATCAGTTCTAATATGCTCAAGTGACACTCTTTGTTTCTGAGCTTCCTCCTTGACGGTAAAGTACTTTAATTCCATATGCTTGGCACCTTTGGAGTACTTATCGTTCTTGGAGAAGAATACTGCTGCAGAATTATCACAATAAATTTTTAGCGATTTGGTAATAGTGTCGACAACCCCAAGTCCTGAAATAAAGTTTTGCAACCATAATGCATGAATTGTGGCTTCAAAACATGCCATAAATTCTGCTTCCATCGTGGATGTAGCAATGACAGACTGTTTGGAACTCTTCCATGATATTGCTCCTTCAGCTAATTGGAGCAAATAACTAAACATGGACTTTCTAGTGTCAATACATCCAGCGAAATATGAATCCGAGTATCCAACAACTTCCAAACACTAGTAGATATCCGCTAAATACCGACCAAAAAAACCGACCAACTTTGGTCGGTTATGGCCAATTACCGACCAAAACGCGACCACATATGGGTGGACGGTATTTTGATGGTCGGAATGGCTTACCGACCAAAGTTGGTCGGAAGTTACCGACCAACTTTAATCTGTAGCTTTAAACGACCATCTGACAATTTAAATGATTTACCGACCAACTTTGGTCGTTTTTTCTGGGTTTAATTGGCATAAAATGCCTGTTTTGGTAGTTACACCACCTGCCAGTATACCAATACCCCCAACAACTGAATTACAACAAGAACACAACAACAACAACAACAACACAACAACAACCAAACATTCAATAAATACTTCAAAACTATCAAATTAAAGTTCAACTGAACATAACAATCCAAAACCAAGTTAAACTAATTACAACAAGTTCAAAACTGGTTCTATTTGTCTAGTTCAAAGTATATAAAAGTAAAGTGGTGTTTTCTACAACATCATCATCACTGTCTGATGAAATTTCATCTACAAGACGATATAGAGAACGATCTTGTGGAGGACGAGAAGAACGATCACGGGGAGGAAGGGAGGAACGATCACGAGTAGGACGGGAGGAACGATCATGTGGAGGTCGACCCTCTGGCGATGACTCACGAGAGCTTGCATGCCTAGGAATGGAGCATCTATAACCCTTTCTCTTTCCTTGGCCGCTTCTAGCTCGGCTGTGAGCTTTGTCACTGTCTCCCGCATAGCGAAGAGGCTCTCCCTATTAAGTTGCTTGCCTTGCGAGGAAGTCCCTATTATTTGCATTCCACACTTATAGCGATAGAATTTTTTAGT